TTTCATGTTTTTAACCATTCACATTTATTTCTTCTTGGAGACACTTGAATGTGTTTTTCTATATATGCTACCACTCTTAGACTTTGTAGGACACACTGGCTTTAAGAAAGATAAGATGAAGGGTGTGAAGAGATTGCTCAGTGGTCAGGAGCCCAGAATGCTCTTTCAGAGGACCCAGGTTCAATTTTCACAATCCAGGTGGCATTTCACAATCATACATAACTCCAGGGGAATCCAACACTGTCTTCTAACCTCTGTGAGTACCAGGCATACATGTGGTGCCCTTACATACATGCAAGTGAAACACCCATACACATAAAATAATAAATTAAAAAGAAACAAGATTTTAAAGGGGGACTGGGAAGGTGGCACAGTGGTTAGTGTGCTCCCCATGCAAGCATAAGGATTGGAGTTTGGATCCTCGGAAGTCATGTAAATGTCAGGCTGGTGTGATGATGCTCCTGGAACTCCAGCTTTGAAAGGGGGAGACAGGGGATCCCCAGAGAAAGCTGGCTGGGAAGAGTGGTTGTTCTAGCAAGCACTAGGTTTGCTTGAGAGACTTCTCCTCAGTGAATAAGATAGAAAGGTGATGGAGGATGACGCTTGACATCAACCTTGCTCTTCTACATGCACATGCCCACAAGTATAGGTGTGCCCACACATATGCAGACATGCACAAACACACACATGCTCACCAGATACACACACGTGGAGATGGAAAACATAAAAAAAAGATAAAAACCATTCATGATGTGTTAATTTGAATGTAATTAATCCCCATAATCTCATAGGGAGTGGTACTATTAGGAGGTATGGCCTTGTTGAAGTAGGTGAGACCTTGTTGGCAGAAGTGTGTCACTGTGGGGTGGGTTTTGAGGTCTCCTATGCTCAAGCTGTGCCTAGTTAGGTTCACATCCTATTGCCTGCTGATCAAGATGTAGGACTCTCAGCTCCTTCTCCAGCACCATGTCTGCCTGCATGCTGCCACGTCCCACCATGATGATAATGGATTAAACCTCTGAACTGTAAGCCACCCAATTTTTTTCTTTATATATAAGTCACCATCACCATGGTGTCTCTTCACAGCAATAGAAACCCTAGCTAAGACTCATGACCAAAGGAAGATTTTCAGAAAATTCAGTCATTGACCCAAACAGACGCTTGGGTACTGGGCATTGTAGTTAGATTTTTATTTGTGCTGCCAGCTTACAAATAATGACTCAGAAACTTATTATTAATTATGAAAGCTTGGCCTTAGCTTAGGCTTTTTACCAACTAGCTCTTATAAGTTAATTAACCTGCTTTTATTAATCTACATTCTGCTATGGGGCTCAGTTACCTCTCCTCTGTACTGTATGTCCCGACTTCTTCAGTGTCTCCTGGCATCTCTCATGCACCTAGATTCATCCTGAGTTCCTCTTTCTGCCTGGAAGTCCCACCTAGTCTCTCCTGCCTAGCCATGGGCCACTCAGCTCTTTATGAAACCAATCACAATAACACATCTTCACACAGTGTAAACAAATACTCCACAAGAGGACATACACAAAACACTGTGTCCTCTTGTTGTCTTGACTGTAGATCTGAATCAGGAACCGACAAGTTTAGGTTATAGTCCTCATTCTTCCCTTCCAGAGGCATAGGGCCCAAATGGCATCATTTGGAAAGTATTTGCTAAGTCTTCCTAATATACTCTCTAACATGACAGTGAGTAACCAGAGATTGCCACATTCTGTAGTCAATGCTACTATTGAAAGGCATTTGAATCAGTCTTCCAGGACTGTTACAATAAATCACTACATATAAGACATTAGTATTAGCTACTTTTCCATTGTTGTGATAAAACACCGTAACCAAGGGAACTTACAGAAGGATGTTTATTAAGGCTCGTGGTACCTGGTAGAGTCTATAATAGAGGAGTAGAGGCATGGCGGCAGGACCAGGAATAGTGAGGGCTTTTTAATTCTCAGAGTGCCTCAGTGATGTACTTTCTCTAGCAAGCCTACACCTCCACATCTTCCCAAATAGTGCCACTAAGTGAGTACCACATACTCGAATGCCTGAGACTATGGTGGATATTTACACTCAAACTACCACAACACTTAAGCCAAATATTTTTTCCTCCAGTTTCAGAGGTCCACATTTGCATATCACCAGCACTTCGGAGGGTTACTTGATGGCTACTTTCATTGTCAACTTGGTGGGATTTGGAATCACCTGGGAAACACACTTTTATAGACATAAAAGTCTATAGACACCTGTCTGTGAGGGTGTTTCCAGAGAGGCTTAACTTAGGAAGGCTCATTCTGAATGTGCGTGGGCTATCCAGTGGACTGTGGTTCTATACAAAACAAAAAGGAGAAAACATTGAATAGAGGTGCTCTGAATGCCTCCTCCAGAAGACATGGGTCATTAAATGAAAGTTTCATTGCCAGACATAGAATAGTTCCCTATAAACTCCCTATATTCAGGGAGTCCTAGAGGCTCCCGACACAACACAAGCTATTGTCATTGCTCTTGGTTGTCCATCATAGCTAGACAGCAAGACCCCATTGTTGAAGACATAACACACTGTGTGTGCAGGCTGTAGAGAAACCAGACTGGAACTAACTTAGAGTCTTCTCCCTATTGTCTACCTTTAATAGACCCAGTAGGTGCTGTATAGACTTCTGAGAGAAAAAAGTCATCAATGGACTTACCCAATGGTACAACCCACATGCTAAAGTACTAACCTGCCAGGCACTGGTACAATAGTGGCGTGACCATTATGGAAATAACCAAATGCTTTCTAATTTGATTTGAGGCTTGCTCCAAAGGAAGGAATTCTTACCTAGTACTATAAACATGGTCCAAAGTGCTGTGGATGATTGATTGATAAATAAAACACTGATTGGCCAGTAGCCAGGCAGGAAGTATAGGCAGGACTAGCAGAGAGAAGACTTGAGAGAACAGGAAGGCAGAAAAGAGGAGACACCAGCCAGCCATCCAGGGAGCATCATGTAGAAGCAGCAGGTAAAGCCACGGAACATGTGGCGACATATAGGTTAACAAAAATGGGCTGAGTATAAGATAAGAGCTAGACGATGGTCGGCCTGAGCTAATGGGTGAGCAGTTTAAATAATATAAGCATCTATATGTTTATTTTATAAGTGGGCTAAGGGACTGCTGTGGCTTGGCGGGACCCAGAGAGAAAAACTCTAGCACCACCAAAGTCCATGGCTAAGCAGGTCATAGGCCCTAGGCAGTGACCTGCTGCTGTTGTGTTGTCATATGGACATGTTGTCAAACTGCCTTCTAAACATTTATGTTTATACACATAGATGAGTGCTGCTCTCAACCTTGATTAGGGAAGTGTACAGTGGACAGACATCTATGGGTCAAGGTGCTGAAAATAAATGACTGGTAAGTGCTTAGCCCTCAATGAGACAGTTATAACAACATGCACACACACACAGAGTGAGAGGTGGGGACTACTCAGGGAACATCATGGAAGAGGGAGCAGAAAAGATATAAGAACCAGAGGATGGGGAGGAGTACCTTTGAAGTTCTGTCTGTAAGCTATGACGGCCATTGAACTCATGAATTCATAACAACTATGGTTATCTGCACAAGCTGGGGACACGGTCCCGTCAGTCAAAGTTCCATCATGGGCAGAAGAGGGCCTCAGGAGGCTCCCCACTCCTAGCTGAGGAGTCATTGTCCATTGATGGCTGCTGGGAATCATTTCTCTTCAGAGATGGAAACATGGACAGTTTTTCTATAGCTATACCACTTTCCTGTAAAGAGTTGAAGCTTTCTTTTTTTAAGGCTAGAAAATCCCAATCAAGCCCAGTTCAAATCAACAGATAATTAATTGAAGAGTGTGTAGTAAAGATCTTAGGGAGCTAAGGCTATTGATTCATGCAGAGAAATTAATTGATCTGAAAGACTGCAGAGCTGGCCATTAATATAAAATATGCCAGCATTATCTCTTACATGAGGCTACAGATGTCTGAATTCTATAGCAGTGCCAACAGAAATTAAATGCAAGCCACATAGGGATTTTTAAACATTCTAGTAGACATAAGCTTTAAAAAGTAAAGCAGAGCTGGCAAGGTGACTTAGTGGGTAAGGGCCCTGGCCACCAAGCCTGACCGTTGAGTTTGATTCCCAGGACCCAGATGATGGAAAGAGACGACTGACTCCCACAAGTTGTTCTCTGGCACTCAAGAGCATACACAGAGAGAGAGACAGACAGACAGACAACACACACACACACATACACACACACACACACACACACACACACACACACACACACACACACACAATGTGGCAGGTGCACATTCTCCCAACAAAAAGAAAGCCTACATAATCTTCTCATACTTGAAAACAAACAGTTAAAATAAAAAAGAAAGAAGTAAAATTAATTTTCATAGTATGCTTTACTTAGCATTAAAACGTCTGATGCATTTCAGCAAATCAATATTAAAAATAGCTAATGAGGCATTTATCTTTTTCTTGTACTGTCTTCAGAACTTCAATAGATGTGATACTTTTCTTGGAAATGTGTGATCTAACTTTTACAAAATCCACAATTGCAAAACTAGACCAATAAGCCCACGCTTCATCATTTTCTGGGTTTGCTCCGTTAGGTGGGGCAGACCCCCTTCATGCCAGGCTTTCCGGTTCTCTCACTGAGTGGGTGCAGTGCCCACCATTGCTCCTAGGTGGACGTGATGATGGGTGAAAATGTCAATGCTGGGACTGTGGGCTCCCACAAGAAAGAAAAAAAAAAAGCTGAACGCCAAGAGAGAGAGAGCGTTTGCTTAGTCTTTGTGACAAAAAAAATTAATAATTTTATGCATAGATTGAATCAATCATATTGGGACATTTTAGAACTTTTTTTTGTAATTTATTTAACTTTATTTTATGTGCATTGGTGTGAGAGTGCCAGATGCCCTGGAACTGGAGTTACAGACAGTTGTGAGCTACCTTGTGGGTGCTGGGAATCGAACCCGAGTCCTCTGTAAGAGCAGCCAGTGCTCTTAACCTCTGAGCATTTCTCCAGCCCGAACTTGATTTTTGTTTTGCTTTTTATTTCATTTTTTTGCTCCCCTCCCCCACGTCTGATCCATTTCACTGGAAGAGCCCTTTCTTTGATGGCGAACACTCTGTAACTAAGTGTGTGTTGGTGGGTGAGGGGCAGGGCATGATGGCATTGTAAGTCACTACAAACAAAGTGCAAGCAGCTGTTGCCTGTCCACTGCCCTGTCCCCTCCGGGTCGAGCTTCTGGGTTTAGCTTCACGCTCTTGGGTTTTGGCAGAAACACGGCGGCAAGACTTTCCAGCCGAGTGGTTTGCTGTGGAGGCCTGGGTAAGTAAGGGTGGTGAAGTCCAATTCTGTGAAGAGCAGGAAGCTGGGTCCCAGGTCCAATAAGTCTGTGTCCTGGGCTCCGCCTTCTCATACCCTCCAGGCCTTGGAATGGCTGAGCCTGGTGGAGCCTCGGATTCTCTTATTACTCTTTTTGTTGGTGTTTCGGTCTGGGGCGGGAAGAGACTGCTCTAGCTCCCTTTTCTTGAGGTCCCAGTCTGGGTCCCGCTCATCAAGCAACAGTCCTCTCTGGCGGTGGTCGCGGCATTCCGGTTCTGCCCTACAAAGAGACCGGTCTGTGAGTGTGGTGGAAGGAGCCTGGCCCGCGCTGACATGGGCCTTGCTTCCCCGAGCACTACACACAGCACAGGCCATTCATGGTCTAGTTAGGACGGTAGGAGGCCAGGTTCACACATGTCCAAGTGCACACGTTAGATTCCAAACCTTCCAAAGTTCAGAAGGTCTCAGATCCCAGAGGAACTACCTGCAGATGGAAGAGGCTGGTATGGCCTGGGTGTGATTAATCTTCTAAGACTGCTAGAAGGAGGGGCTGCTTATTGTTAAAGTGCCCACGTTTCCAGAACAGTCTTCATGTGATTGGGAAGATGTTTCTTGTGGTGGTATTGTGTTCCCCAAAATATTGTGTACCCTAATTAACTTATCTGGGGTCAGAGAACAGAAAAGCCAGTAGATACTTAGGATAGTCAGTGGTAGCACACGCCTTTAATCCTAGCATTCCAGAGGCAGAAATCGTTCTCTACCATCACTCCCTGGGATTAAAGGCGTGAGTCACCATGCTTGGCTGT